ACAGGAACAACGGTAAGTGTCAAAAATGCTTACAACTTGGAGTCGGGCGAGTGAGCGAGTGAGTGAGTGAATGACATTTGCCGGTGCGCCTAATTGTAGGCAATTAATTTGTGGCACATCAAAGCAAAGAAAAGGACCCCAAGCCATGAAAAGTAAACAGCAGAGACAAAGCAAATGCAGCTGGTGTCCATTTTAGGTGGTTGTTTCCGGCACCGCGACGAGGAAGCGTAGACCGTGGAGCGTGGCAAACCGCACCTTTTAACCCTTTGCCACACGCCATTTGTTTCCCAACTGTGGGGGTTGGACAAAGACTGAGACAGAGACACCCAAAAGGCAGCACATGCAGCTCTCTAATATGCTTGGCAAACAGAGAATCCGTTTTGCTTGACGGCAGCCCACTCCAGTGGCTGGTCCGAAAAGCAATTTGCCTAACATTTCCAGGGCGTTAAGTAATAATGACCCCAAAAAGTAGCAGAGCATATTGGCTGGCCACGCTGGCGTATACGCAATGTCTATGTGAACATTATTTTTTCCATCCGTTCGGTTTCGGCTTTCGGTTTGGGCTGGGGTTTTCAGTTCTGTGCTCCTCTGAAAGTTATGCTCCTGTGCTGAGGTCAAATAAAATATTTATGAATTGCAGGCAATGCGGGGCGGCTTAATTGCATTAGAGAGATGTGTTCCTCGATAAGCCCAGAGGAAAGTAGTCATGTGACCCTGGCAGGGTGTCCTTTTCCGAGTACGTGTGTACGCGGTGGGGCGGGGGCAGCGGCAATTGGATCGGCTTTTTGGGTAATTGTGGCTACAGGGCAAAAGGCATTACAAGTGTAGAAACCAGCCTGGAACCCAGCTGCCAAATATATGTGTGTGTGTGTATGTGATGGGCGGAAGTGTTGAGGAGGTGGGCGAGGTTGCGGTTGCTATTTCGCTTCTGGGGGCACTTGCGGCGAAAATTTGCGAAATCAATCGTGTGGAAATTGTACAAAATGGCTTTTCCAACAGTAAATCACGAAGAAGGGGAAAACCAAGAAGACACGAACACAGAGAGAGAGAGAGAGCTGGCAATGACAAAGGTTGAGGCGTAGAGAAATTTTGATGAAAAATAAAGCAAATGGCATTAGAGCAGACAACGAGCATATAGAAGTACGTAGCACTGCACGATAGACTTCAAGATTCCCTGTAAAATGTGCATGAGAAGTGAGCAAATATTGATTAATAATAAGAAATTCGAGTGAGCTTAAATTCCAATTTATTTAAACTTAAAATGTTTCAAATATTTTAAAAGCAAGTTTCTTAACCTTTGCTCCATGTAATAGCCAAAAAGTTATTTCTCCCAGAGGAAAATCCGAATATTTTTGTGATGTAGAATAATATGAATGCAATAAGGCAACAAAACAGATTCAAAACCAGGCGAATTGAGAATAATCAGGAAGTTATTGATCAATATTTTAAAATTAAAGCTACATTCAAAGCTAGCTTAAGAAAGACTTAAACTACCATTGAAGTTGTTCAGAAACTGTGTTAACATAACAAAGCCTATGTGATGGCAAAAAAGGAAGACCCTTTTTTTAAGAATAACTCAACATTATGGAAAAAGGCCATAAAATTGTCTTCTGTTTCACTAAAGAGCACAAAATATCCTAGGATTATTGGAAATAGGCAAGATATTGCTGGTAAATAATATAAAATTCGGGAGAATTTTTATTCCACTTCAGTCTTCAACTACTTGGAGGCATAGATAGCACATGGGGTGGCAAAAAGTTATTGCTTTTATTTTTTTAAATTAGCCCAGCTTTATGTAATAAAAGGATTCCTAGAAAAGTATTACGTTTATTTTTCTGTCATCTACTGTCATCTCAATTCCCTTTTCGCTTTGCTCTACTCTCGGCTTTTCAACAGACTTTGCAGCTTATTTTTATTTATTTGCTCTTCACTTTTCATTGTTATTTTTGCCATTAAATTCTATTTCAACACATTCACATGCAAATCGCAGTAGACTTTCTCTCTCTCTCTCTATCTCTCTCTTTCTCTCAATCATAAGATATATGATGTCTCTCTCTGTTTCTCTCTGGCACTGTCTCTTTCTTGCTTCATATCTGTGCGCGTTAATGTGCTCAATTGTTTGTCTGCCTCGTGCCGAACTGAACATGTAAATGCTTGGGACTTCAACACACTTTCTTGCCCTTCGCCCCGCATTCCGTGCCCGCATCCGCAGCAGCTCATCGGGTTTATTGTCAACGGCACAGCGCAGTGAAAATTAATCAAAAAAACTTTTACCAACAACATTTTCAATTGACAATTTAAACTTTTATCTCGCAAGACATTTTACATAAAAGTTTTGTGTTAAAAATTTTGCCCAACTAAAAATGAAAAATGTTGCCCGCTTCTTCTCAATGGGCTCTAGCAAGGAGTCGCCGGAGTCAAAGCACTCGCTCCAGTAGGCATCTCATAAGCTATCAAAACTTTTGACGCTTAACTTAGAAGGCAGCACCAACAAGAGGAGAGGAGGCGCGGCTAGGCAGAGGCTGTTCCTTTGTGCTTTGTACTCTCGTTATTATTGTTGATGATAGCTGCGTGAGCAACGCACCACTTGGGCGGGACCTGGCGGGGCTGTTGTCGTCTAGCTCGAGGGCTGCTGCCGGCCACCCCTTTTTTCATAGTGCGTGGAAATTGGTAGCATAAAGGCAAGGCAATGACGCTCTAACAAGCTTAGGCAATTTACTCACACGCACCTCAGCTAGGTTTATGCGTGCTAAAATCAAGATTCAGTTCTGAAGGTGTCTGAAAAGTTTGGCTTTATTTATTATTATTGTTATGTTTATTATAGATATATTTGAGGATTTTATTAAAATTAGTATTATAGTCTTGTTATTATTATTATTTATTATTATTATTATTATTATTATTATTATTATTATTATTATTATTATTATTATTATTATTATTATTATTATTATTATTATTATTATTATTATTATTATTATTATTATTATTAATTATAGCTTCTAGAGCGTTTCATAGTATACTTATTTCTTGCCTATAATTTGAGATCTGAACCTTTCTGTTAGGTTATCTGAATGACTGGGAAATAGTTTCTGTGCAAGTGTAAGATGTTCTTATGGAAATATATTGTCAAAAGTACAGGGTACCTTCAAGTTGGGCACTTTGTTTTAGAAATAACTTAGCTAACTTAACTAACTTAGCATCATATCATAACAACACATTTCAGTTACTATCTATCATGACTTTCTGATTTCTTCTCTTTTTATAACTCTCACTTGCGATTTAATTATTGTGCCCATCAACTACACAACAAGTTTCTTTTTATAGCTCGTACCACATCTGAGCAGGTACTACTTATGTCTTTTACGTCTGTCACTTAAAGCAAACACTTTTCCTGATTTGTTGTCACGCATAAACCTCTTAACTGGCATATAACTACACAAACAAAAATTATTTTCCTGCTCAACGTATTTATTTACATTTTACAAGGCAGCACAAAACACACATAAGCACGAGGCCAATGCAGGGACGAAGGCAGGAGACGCCAAGAGGAGTCATGAAACATGACAACAAGGCGCAAAATTATGCACAAAGTTGCCATTTTCTATCTGTGCGTGAGTGTGTGAGTGTATGCGTGTGTGCTTGTGTGTGAGTGTGTGTAAATCCCAGCAGCATAGCTGCTGCTGATGTGTGTGACAGCAGCAGCAATCAGCAACAAGGTGGGTTGAAAACCATCAGACAAACTCAACCAGACTCAACCAGGCACAGCCCAGACACACAGCAAAATTCAATATGGCGGCAGGGTAGCCAACTTCTGACAGATGACTGGCCCTGACTCCAACTCGCAGCTCTCAGCTCTTCCGACTCTCCTGCTCTCCTGCTCTCCTGTATCGTCATGTGTGCGGCGTGTTGGGTGTCTGTCTGCAAAGTGTAGAAATTTTGTTAGCATTTTAAATGCTCTACACACTTTCGGGCTGTTTGAGTATACTTTGAAACTATGCTAAGTATATAAATATTTTGAGACTAATGCAAAATTTTTCATTATATTTATGGCAAAGCTCTTTTAACATTTAATATACATGGACTTTATAAATAACCGCAGGATTCAAAGACTTACCATGTAAATAGATGTCGCTACGTACATAGACATTTTAAAATATAGCTAGAAATGAAGGCGTAAATTTCTCAGCTGCAACGCAATGTAACAAGTGCTACGTATACCTTTACCTGCTTTAAGTGTGTGTATGTGTGCGTATATGCATACTGTATATTTTGCGTATACAGAACGCAGCCACGCTTACTTTACTTTGTGTATGTTTATATCTGTGTATATATGTGTGTATGTAAATATATCTATGTATGTAAGTGCGTATATATTGATGTTGTCTTTTAACAAACGTTAAAATTAATAAAAACACATCTTTCTACGTTTCGCCCCTCTATGCTCATAAATTCAACTAAGCATTACAGGTTTTAATGCGTTGATTAAACGTGTGATATTTAAAAATTTTGTCTGTGATTTAATTAACTTGATGTATCAGGTGCATATGCATATTCATGAACGTAGTTTGAATATATGTTAGTACTTATATATATATATGTATGTATGTATGTATGTATGTATGCAGATATGTATGTATGTGCATATGTACGCAGGCATGTGGTTAGCAAATGCAGACCATTTTAACTCTCCCCTTTGCTACTAATTTAAAATGACGAATTTTTAAGTGCTGCCTTACTAGGCGATTCTCATAAATTCAAGTGAAGCTTTAATATGAAGTGTTCCTTTAACAATTTGTGTTTTGCAATATAATAAACTTGATCTCCTTATCTAGAGGCTCATACTATCACTCTAATTGACTCTTGTATAGTCTATCTCTCTTTGACTCACTTATTTTTCCTCGGTCTCTTTCCCTCTCTCTCTCTCTTTTTCTCTCTCTTTCTCATTTTACTTCTCTTTTATACATCACCTTAATCCGTTTTCTGCTTATCTTTTTCAGCAATGTGAATCCGTATCCTTCCTACTAATAAAAAACAATAAAGTATTCGTGCGTGTGGGAATTTTTGGGTAAGTTCATATTTACATATATATTTTTGTATAAATAAGAATAAAGCCAATTTGAGGAACTGAAGTTCATAAGTTCTTGGACTCAAACTCTTTCCTATAGATCAGAGGTCCGTACAATTTTTATCTAGACTTCCGTTAGATGTCTTAACTTATCCGCTTTAAGTGCATCTCAAAGTCAACTGACTTTGTGCACTTATCCTTGCTTCCTTTATGTGAAGGTCCCGGGCTGCTGTCATCTGTCTACTTCCATTCCTGGTTGAACTGCGAAACTGACATAGATGGTGAGATGATGTTCTGTTGTCGTCATCATTGTCGCTGGCGCTGACGGCTTTGCTGTCGATTCCTTTTGCAGGCACTGTGTAAACATTATTTAAGATTTTGTGCTGATGCTGATTTAGTTTGATTTGGTTTCAAGCAAAGCACATTGGAGCCAACAGTTTGCCAGCAATGTGGGCTGTTGTTTGCCAAGTTTTGAGCGAAAACTTTTAACATAAATTGCTTATCGCGAAAAACAAATACATTTCGTGGAAGTACGAATAAAGCCATACAATTATTTCTCGTTTATGTATTTGTATGTTAAAGCCGGCGAACACTGAGGAAACTTTGTGCCTTAAAAATCTAATTTACCTAACAACAATTACGAAAATGCCAAAAGAAAATTATGTATTATAATTTATGTTAATTACTCAATTACATTTGTGCCTCCTGGCATACTCCAGGCTCCCCGCTCCCGTCTCCAATGCCCAATTAAAAATTCCAAACACAAATGCGCCTCATTAATAAATATGAAACGTCAATGGAGGCCTGGCCACTATCGGCGCAGGATTTGGAGTTAGAGCTGGAGCCAGCCGGCGGGCGTGCCGCAAAGATTACGCAAGAAATCAATATTCAAGTGGGCCAAGCGAACGGGGTTTCACAATCTACCCCCTCCTTCAACCCCAACCCTAAAAAGCCAAGCATTCCGGAGTTTAGCTAAAAAGTGTCGCGTACTGCGGAGAGTCTGGGCCTGTCCTTAAATTTAAATAAATTACACACGTTCGACTTTCGGTTCGACCAACTTTTGGGGGTGACATTTGCGTTCTGCCTGACATACGAGAGGCTCATTTTTCAAGGGCAGCAACAATTTCTTCAACTCCGCAAGGTGAGAGCGGATTTTTGGTTTTGGGTGTGTGTCCGGGTGTGTGTGTGTGTGTGTGTGTGCGTGGCTGGGCTCGGCCGCTTTGGCGCCCTCGTATAGCAATTTCCGTGCGGCGTATGTTTTTTCCTGTTCCATTTTCATGGCACTGCCATTGCCAGCCAGACCAAAAGATTAATGAGTTTTTTTGACAGCGAAAAATTAGGCAAAATGTGATTTAAGGGTTGCTCTGCCTGTGCCTCTGGCCTGCTCCCGCTGCCCCGCTCCCGCTGCTCCAGCTCCTGCTCCTGCTCCTGCTGGTGTGGCCAGAGATAAGCTCGACATTCTGGAGCACCCGGAAAAGCTGTGTAGATGCAATTTATTTAACTCGTATTTGCCAAGTAGAACTCTACGAATTATCGTTCGGCCAGCATTGTTCGTGTGTGCAGCACGGCAACTATTTATTTGTTGATGTATTTTTATGACCATCGAATTTATTATGTAGTTTGCCGCTCAAATTGAAAATAAGAAAACATATGCGCAGGCTCATTCGGCAGCAAAATTTATTTATTTACGTAATATACTTTGGTATATATATTATTAATTTATTTATTGCGTAGCATTTATAAGATATCCATTGATATAGAATTTGTATATGGCTCTGTGATGTCTAAAAGTAATCAGTTTTGCATTGTTTGTTGATTTTAACAGGAAAGAAACATTTTGGATTTCTGAGAGAGTGTAAGGCAGGGGAAAATATTTGTATGGCTTTATAAATGTATTCATTAGCTCAATTTTTCGTCTTCGCCAAGAGCTACAATTGAGTTATCTTAAAGGCACTCTGCTTGATTCTACGTAATGAAAAGATATCTATTATTTTTTTAACTTTCGGATATGGTGAAGCTTGGGTGAGTGGATAGATGAAATGCATCATTAAATGTCTATTTACTTTTGCCTTTGAGCTTTTCACGCATTGCGCTCGACGCACACTTCCGTCATTTTTTTTTTTTTTTGGTTTTTTTTTTATTCCTACCCCGATCTCTTTTTATGCGCATTTCCGTAGGCGGTAGCCCGCCGACAGTTTAATGGGCGCCACTCAAAAATGTAAAATATAAAAAAATATAAGTAAACTGAACGAAATGTTTTTATAATCATTTGATTTACAAGGCCTCTTAATTTGTTGTATTCTTTTTCGCAATCTGCCAATGAAATTGTTTGTCAACGCGACAATTTCTCAACGCGTTGCAAATGAAACGGAGAGAATCAGAATGTGCGCTGATGATTTAATAAGCGCAAAACGTGGCGCGGAATGCGGCGAGTGTCGATTGAAGAGTACGAAACGAACGCCCGCCATCGGATTGTGCAATTAATCAAGAGCTGAATGTTATCCGTTTGTTGTGGAAATTGACTAGAAAATCAGCCGACTTGCGGCCTGGCCAAAGCCAATTCCATGCGTTTTCCATCAGCTCTGAAGCGCTCACTCAGCGCTCCCTTTTTAGTCCGGCTGCCTCGCTATATTTCTATATTTATGTAGCCTCCCCCTTCCCTGGCCAATGCCAGTTCCGATTCTTCAGTTCGTCTCGCTCCGACGGGCGGTCGCTTGCTCGTTCGCTCGATTTATGGCCGCCCCGTCTAAGTGCCTTTAGATCAAAGTGAAACAAACATATTGCAATCAATTTTTGTTGCTAATGAGCTAAATTTGATTTTATTGAGTTGTGTGCGCGCACTCGCTTCCATCAATTAAAAAGGGGTGAGCGGGGGTGGTGGCAGGCCGCTCTGACGTATACGTTATTTCTGATGTGATCTGCAAGCCACATTATTGTGAACCATACTGTATTGATTGAAATACATTTTTGTAATAGTTTATAAATAAATAATAGTTGTTGAGAGTAAATAGTTCGTGTTGCTATTGAAAAGTTGAGCACCTACCCTATTACGTCTAAAAACTTTTACTTATGCTTTAAGAAAAAATGAAGTTCAGGTTTTGAATACCCGTGTGGTAGGCGGGCTCTAGAATACCTCCACAGCATGTCATCGCTTGTCGTACGAGGCGACTAATAGAGACACGTTGATCCTCCAATTCGGGACTATAAACAGATTAATGCTTGTCGTACGTAGCGAGTTGAGGCCTCCCGAGTCAGTGTCAAAGATTGAGAGTCATTGAGATTGAGGTAGGTCCTTTGTGGGAAATTTTTTTGGTCTTTTTGCCTGCTTGGCATGCATTGACCCAATCGAACCAAGTTCATATTAAAATTGTTACCAGACCAAAGTACCTTGTTTCTAAGACGAGCTATGACCAAAAATCATGTTGCTAGATATGGATGCCAAATTGATCTAGAGGCCAAACCATGAAAAAAGAGACCAACTTTATGAAAATCTGCTGAAATTTGACCAAGTTATAAGGATGGGAAATGTTGACCTATGAATTTCGACCAAAAATAATGTTGCCTGATATAAGGATATATATTAAACGTGCTGAGTAATAAATTGGATTTTTCCTTCCATTTTCATTTCATACCTTTTGTAATTTTAATATTTTCCAAAACACACATACCCCGCAGCCCTCTCTCTCTCTGGCTCTCTCTTCAGCCATTTTGGCATCCCGCTTGTTATCTCTGTGACCTTGTTTAGCGGTTTTTCTCTAATTTAAGGCTGCGGCTCTGGCAGCTTGTAAACATGTCAGGATCCGCTTCGGGTGCTTCCTTAACTCGCCTGCGGCCGTCGTTGCCGCTGCTGCTGCTGCATTCTCAGCGTTGTGAAATTAATAAATTAACTTCCTTGTGCCATAAATCATTTTTCGTGCCTGGCTGGGCCTGCCAACTGCGAACATTTTGCGCCATTAACCAAAGTCGTTTCTTCTTGCGGTGCTTTTCACTTACCCTTAACTGTTGGATGCCCCAAAATATAAAAAAAAAATATAACCGCAGCACCCAATTCAAATGCCTCGGCTGCTGCTGCTCCTCCTCCTGCCCAACTCTCAACCGGCCTCATCATCATCATGCTTTATGGGAACTCGGCAGCTTGCATAATCATCGCGTTACAGCTGCTGCTCCAGCTCCTGCTCCTGCTGCTGCTCCTGCTGCTGCTCCTGCTGCTGCTTATGACGCTGCCCTGCTCCAGTTGGTAGGCCTAGTTGGAGGGCTGCCAGTGAGGCCAGTGTCTGCCCACTTCCTGGCCCAATCATAATTTGTGCTTTGCATAAATTAATGGCCACCAGTTTCAGTGCCTGATTTCATTTGCTGCCTGCCTGCCAGCAGCGTAACAAAAAAAAAGAAAACCAACCAAAATTATTTCGCACATAAATTGCTACATACTAGAAGACCCAGAACTTAAAGGTGCCTCGGCTACAGCTGCCCCCTCTCGCTCTCTCGCTCTCTTTCTGCCACTCCCTATTTCTGTCTCTATCGAGCTCTTACTCAAACACATCCCTTTGCTCTGTTATTTACACAGTCTTCATGTGTTTTATGGCTTGTTTTCGGGTAGCTCTCAAGATTTATGACAGGCCTGGTCTGCCTGGAAAATGGGGCTCTGTGGCTGTGGGTCCCAGCTTTAACCCCACTTTGCCGTTGGCTTTAAGCAAAGCTCGTGCTGCTGGAATGTCTCAATAAAATCATAGAACCCACACATGGGATAATTGCTGGCCGTTTGTCAGTTAACCGATTTTATAAAACTGCTCATTAGTGTAACAAATTTAATTGTTATTTTCTCAGCGCTGGCAAATCAATATTTACAACTCTATTATGAGTTTTGTAAGATTCATTTAACGTTCACACACACTCGCACACACAGAAATCGCCTGCCCTCCGTACAAATCGAGTTCAAATCCGATTTTCAGTTGTGTCGTAAACATTTCCCGCGCTGTAAAAACTCAACGCTCATGAAGCAGACACATGAAAACTGAAATGAAAATGAAACTGAAGGCGCAATTGCTGCAGAGATTGGGTGGGAAAAGGGCTGGAACAGGGGGGGCAGAGGTGTATCACAGCAACACAAAACAAAATCATAATAAAAATGCATTCATAAACATGAAATACGATGCACTGTGGAGACGAGCCTGGGGCCCGGTGCCCGGTGCCCGGGACTGTGACTGGAGCTGGAACTGCAACGGGGGCTTCTAACGTCAGCAGCCGCAGCCCGTCTAAGCGTGAGTCTATTAAAAGCGCATAAAAATAATTTTACCGTTTTACGAGGCCAACGCTGCGCAGGCGTCCGAGCAGGGAACGGACCGGACTGGTCCCCACCGGTGACCCTCATCATGTGGTCGTGGCCGGGGCTCCGGCTGTGTGCGTTCGCGGGTTAATTAAATGACGCCTCTCCGTTTGCCAGTTGCCAGTTGCCAGTTGTCGGTTGTCGGTTTCCAGTTTAGTTTCGTGACGACTGCACGCCGCACACGTGTTGGCAATTGTGCGTGGGGGGATCTGGTAGAGTGAGGACGGACGGGAGGGCGGCCGGTCGGTCGGCAAATGCCCCGCATTTTGGTTGCTCCCTTTGCTGTGAAATTGGTCTCGTCACTGGGAACGCGCCGTGGGATCTATTGGATTAGAAAGAAGCTCGTAAATGGATTGTAAATGGATTTGAAAGACATTTTGAATTGCTGTGATGGCCGTATGGAGCCATGGCTTGGGCACTTATCAAACATTCTCGTTTGGCAACAGTCTGGAATTATACTTATGTAACATTTTTTTTATGATTATCAATGGGAAATATGGGGGCTCTTAGCTTATGTTATCGAGGGTTTATTGTATTGCGTCCATAGTGCGCAGCTCTTATGACCATGTTCGATTTATGAAAATTAAGAAAAAACTATGCGAATCACTTAAGCTCTACTATTAAAACAGAAAGAAAAGAGAAGTCAAGAAAAGTCTTAATTTTCCAAAGATGCTTTGAATTTGAATGTCCGATGCATTAATATAAATATTTTAACCATAATTTCTTATATCAAAGTTAGTTGTCTCATTTCCAACTCGATGTAGTGTTGCCACTTATCGACATGGCGTTGCCATAGTTACTCAAAAGAAGTATGTAATTTAACTTCTAAATTTAACATAAGCTTTAACAGGAACATCTAAAATAGTTAATAAAATAAAAATGTGAAAATATAGAAATGGGATTATAATTAAAAAAATTTTCTAAAACTCCTCATAAATATATATTTAGCAATGATAACTTGCTTGAGGGATACAAGTTTAGGTGCAGGGTTTCTTCTAGTTTCTCTAATCAAGTTATATTGAGCCATCTATGGATCTCGACCAGTTGACCATTGGTCATTCAATTGTTGACAGCTGTCAGTCTGACCAGGCATTGGCACACCCTGGAAGAGGACTGTTCCCCTCCTGTTGCATATGCGAGCGTCCGCATGCTCAGCCGTCATAATTGACGAATTTATGGCACTTCTTGGAAACGAACCCAGCAAGGGTACTCGTAGTCGTACTCATACTCGCCTTTGTACTCGTACTGGTACTCATAGTTGTACTCGCCCCAATACTTGAATTGTTTTCTGTATTCTAGATGGTCGCTATGTGTCCAATTGTCCATTGGACGCCTACTGGGCTCGTTGTTTTACTTTGTTTTGACTAACCAGACGTGCAAATTGCTCAATTCCTGCAGCGGCTTCCATTGACCGCAACAGAAAGAACAGCAATTCATGTTGAATGTGGCATGCGGCATAAGGCATGCGGCATGTGGCATGTTGGGTGTTGTACATTAATGATTTCTGTTTTTGTTATAGTCTTGTGTAAAACCGACAAAACTCATTTTCAAATTGTGCAATCGCTACGTGACTTCCGCGAGAAAATATATCAAGACTTTAAAGAAACTCAGCCAGGCAACCGCATCGGTCAAGCCAAACGAAACCAAAACTGAAGCATGCCACGAGCACAGAACAACAAAATCCCTTTTACATAATTCCTAATGCTAATGAGGCTGCATTTCAATTGCTAGACGAGTTCTGTTCCATTAACTAACATTTGCTGTATATTCACGTAAGTCACGAAATGTTTAACGCATTGAGAAAATTTATCAAATCATTTGACTATATGTCTGTCAAGAAGATGGAAGAATCTCATAAACTATATGTATGTTCTCGATCAGCATTAACTTTCTATAAGTTTTAGGACTATGAAAGCTTCTATTGCAGACAGTACATAGTATGTCCGGATTACTAAATTAAATTGCCAAAGGAACGATCGGTCGCATAATAAGTTCTTGTATAAAAATCTTGTAAGATAAATCAAGTAAGGCGATTACAAGCTTGAGCATTCTCCTTACATATTAAAAGAATACGATCAAGCTATTCGGAGTATTATATCATATGGCTATATGGGAAAAAGTGTTCAGTTTTTCAAGATATCTTGATTAAGCTGAGCAGTTGCGAGTTTTACTATTACTAGAGTTAGTCAAAAGTATTTAAATATCTATCAACAGAAAAAACCAAGACGTTCTTTATTTACTTTTTTTAATTTGACTTTAAATAGTTTGCTATACACGTTGCAAATTCCATTTTCTCAGCCATAGAGAGCTTTTCAACTATCATTTTCTATGGCAGACTCATTCTCAACAATTTTAAGATTTCTATTTATATTCCAACTTGATTTCGTGTCAATTTTAGTAGGTTATTGACTGCCTTTTTTTGCGCAATTTCACTTCATAAATCTTTGGCTCAATTGGCTGCTAAAAATCATATGCAGCAGCAGCAGCAGCCGCGACTTTATCTGGCGGTTATTTATGCGTTTTTAAATATTCAAATCGAATTGTACGATCTTTTAAATGGCAATTGGGATTCGAAACGGAAAGGTTTTAATTAAAAACAAGTTTCCGTTACGGCCATATACGAAGCGCATCTCTTGATTGTTGTCGCGCTCTGCTTTGTTTTCTGTCTTGTTAAAATGTGACTTAAATATGCACATAAAATTCGTTCCACTGCTTAATGAAAACTCTCATTATGATAGCGGTTGGCTGCGCCGCACTTAAAGGCAGACAGACGGCTGCAAAGTTGCCAAGTTAAACAACAAAAGTGTAAAGAGTTGCGTTTTTAAGTCGGCAAAATTCCCTCAAGCTCCTGCCAAGCCAGCAGCTCCTTCCTATGCCAGACACGTGCGCGCCGAGCGAAAAATTCGCATTGGCTTTAAAAGTCCAACCAAAAACGAAACCTCGGCTCAAATTGTTGTCGACTATTATTTGGGCTATCCTTAACTTTTCATCCACTTGTTAGGCGCTATCTCGGAGCTTGGCTCGGTTTCAAATGGCAACGGGCACATAAATCTCATGTTAATTTATGCAAAAACTAAAGACCAAAACAAATTTTTGTTTTGTGGCGACAAAGCAAACTGTTTGCCAGACGAGCTGCTACCCTGTTTGGAGATGTAGAGTAGACAACTTTTGCGGAATTATTTTCAGGAATAATAGTTAAGTTGTGTGTGCAATGCATGTACCTCTTGGCAACAGATGCCTACAGAGTATATCAAAGACAATTATGTAAATTTAAACGAATGCTGAGCCAGCAGATACCTTATATATTGCTGTGGAGTAAATGGGACAGAGTGTGTATAGCTTTAAGACTTTTAGTCAAGCAGTAAAAAACCTTTTGCAGAAGGATGTGCCATGCATATATCCCTTAGCTACAGATATCTACAGGGTATGTCAAACACAATTAAATGGCTTAAGACCAGTGCTGAGCGAGCAGCTACCCTGTTTAATGTTGTCGAGTAAATGTGAATATTGTGTAGAGCCCATCGATGATTCCTAAAAATATTAATTGCTTAGTTGTATGTGCGGCGCATATACCCTTTAGCTACACATACCTACAGGGTATGGCAAACACAAATATTTTGTTACCAGTTTTTATGCCTTTTGTCGCGTCGTTGTCGACAACTCTTGACTCTTTGGTGCGGCTCTCGCCTCGCTTGTCATAAAGAAATTTTAATAATGTGCGGCGCCAAAAAAGTTTTTTTTTACGAGCCGTAAAGCGACGACGTTGACGTCGACGTCGACGTCGACGCTGACGTCGCTGCCGCTGTCTGGGGCAGCATGGAGCATAGCAGAGTGTTAAAAATGAAATGAGTTTCAAATGAGCGTCGCATTAGGCGCCCAAAATGACTTTGTCAGCTGGGGTCAACGTGGCGTATGCGCAATATGCATTTAAGCTGATTGCATAATGTGAAAATGCAGAAAAACCCTCAGACGAGTTGGTTGAGCCAGCATTGTCGCCACTTGGACTCATGCATATTCAGTTTCGCTTGCATACTTTTCACCTCTAAGCTTATAACACACAAAAAGCCAATTATAAAATACATAGTTTAGTTATAGGCTTGAAATTGTTGCAATCAAATGTTTTCGATATACAAATGCATGTCTCTTCCCCTTGGCGCACAAATCACGCGGCATTAAGCTGTCCGTCTGTCGAACCATCGATCTTGCCAGGCCATCAAAATGCCAGCTGCGCTTGGGCCCAGGTCGCTGCTAAGACAAAACTCTCGCCCCTTGTCTTTTGACTCCTATTTTAATGGCGCGGCATAAAATCCACAAAATCATTTACACAAATTAAATGTTAACTCAGGCATAAAATTACCAAGTTAACACCCGCTCGCTGGATGCCGATCTCTCGCTCCCTCTCTGGGCCATAATTTAATGGCAAGTCGAATCGACGGACTGACAATGCAGCGAGCCCGAAACTGGCTGCGACTGTCAGACCGGACCTGGGACACGCCTGACAACAACGACAGCAACAACAACAACAACAACAACAATGACATCAACAACAACGACAACGACAGCTAGTTGGCTGACAAGTTTTCTACGCTTTGCTTTTCCTTGCGCACTTTTCATTAAAAATATCCGCTCTCCGCGTTTCCGACCGGTCGCCGCCGTGTAATTTGCAAATTTTCTAATTGTCGTTTGAAATTTCAGCCTTTGGCCAACACGTTGACGGCCGGAACGGGCCAGGAACCTGCTCCGGCCGGGCTTTTTGGGTGTGTTTGTGTGTTTGTGTAAAGTAGGTCGCCTAGCAAAATAGAAGGTGTTGCTGCTGCTGCTGCTGCTGGTCCTCGACTCACCTTTAATTGCAATTAAGTTTTAGTTTTAGTCTCAATTTCAGTTTCATGAATTGAGCGCAAGGCCTTCCACTAGCAAAATCCAATTTAGCCAACGCGTCTCTTAACACACTTTTCAGCTCGGCCCGTGCGACCATTAGGCGTATATTTTTGAAAAACCTCTCGAATTTGTTCATGTATTTAGATACCCATGCCAAATGCGTATGACAGGGTATATTGGGATCTGCTGACAAACTGATTACCGCAAATCAATAAACCAAATATTACCATATTCCAGACCACAATGCAAAGTGAAATCGATCTGCAAACTAGCTGGATATTATCTCGAAGATACTCATGTTTTGCGAGTGTAAAGGTATACCACAGTTATGCATACGCTTTAAAAGCTATTATGCCCGGTTATTTATTTATTTCCCTTGTTAGGGTTGCTTTTTTCTCATGTCGTAGCCATAAATAATTCACAATTCATTGACATATTTTTATGAATATGACTTCCGATCGTTAAACAAGGCGCATAAAAGTGGCGAACCGTCGACTATCAGGCCATGCAGCATCTGCCAGTATGTCTGCCCCTGTAGCCCATCCACAGCAGCCGATGGGGCAGCCCATTAAAACAACATGAACGCACAATTTAATTTATATATTTTTATTTTTCAAGCGTGTTGGCGACACTTCATTGTTGCTACTGTTCTTGTTGTTGTTGTGGTTGTTGTTGTTGCTCTGAAAAAACAAACAGTGTAGCGTGCCCCAACCGCCACAGCCTTGATTCAGGCTCATCGTCAACCTTTTCGAAAATATAATCACAGCATAAAAATCAATTCCAAACGCGTGTGCAAAGAGCAAAAAGACAGCGCCAGTCGAGAGTCTGTCGAGAGGCGCACACATGGCAATCGAGAGGTCTCCACAACAATTTTTCCCAGTCCCCTGTTTCAATGCGCCCGCCTCTCTGCTTCCAGCTCCCTACTCCTGATGTTACCCCGACTTGTCCAATTCTTCGTTCCACACAAAAATGTCACACATTTGTTAAACATTCGCGAGTCTGCACGAGCTGCATCCCTGTTCACCCTCTTAACCCCCGTCCCCTTGCCTGGGGCATCAGCAATATAAACAACACTGTGCTGCTAAACTGTGGCCCGGAAAAATCAGCATGCAAATAAAATAAAAATAAAGCATACAATGAGCACAATAAAAATAAAACAAATCAAAAAGGATATTGGCAGCTATGAAAATACCCTACACGCGCAAATATATTGTACGTACATAACAATATTTTCTGCATACCCTGCAAACGTCGCGAGTGTAAATAGAGCATGCCTGAAGGTTTGCAAGCATATGTAACAGAGAGAGGGACTTCTTCGTTATATTTTTCAGCTATAATTAGTAATTATTCTTAAAAAGGACAATTCTTTATATTCATTTTAATAAATCATGAATGTCATGCAACAGATAACTTCAAGTAGGCTTATGCAGCTAGTCAGTTAGGAGAAACAGTTTATATATAGAGATCCCATAATTCCATGCGAATTCAATATTTAGGAATTAAATTCCATTCGAATTCAATATACCCCCCGATGAAGAATTCAAGGGTATCTGACGCTAAAATCATAAATAGCTTAAAACCAAGCCACCGCCTGGCAGGAGCCGGGCACTGTTTGCATTGGGCGGCAGCTCCTAGCGGTGACGATGGCTGCCGAGGCGCAAATAGGCTGTCAGTTACATACCAGAGAGCCCCATTACCCGTCCCCGCCACTCCGCCCCCCTTCCACGTGTGTGTGTGTGTGTGTGTGTAGGCGCATTAATGTAGCCAGCAAAACAAAAAAAAAGGAATTTGTTGTAGGCAGGCACAAAAAAAAAGCGCTGAGAAAAAAAATTGAAATGCTTTTTGTGATTTATGGGAATGTGTTGCGTAGCCCGGAGATTTGGTATAAATGTGTCCCCTCTCTCTCTCTCTCTCTCTCTCTCTCTCTGCCTCAGTCGCTGTCCCCATCTGCCTCTCGCCCTCCCACCCTCTGTCAATGTCACACACAAAAATGTTTTACAAGCAATTTTCCAGCTTTTCTTTTTATGTGTGTTTGTGCATTCGTTTAACTATTTGGGCATAAAATATGACGACCCCAGCACGAAATGGAGAACCGCTCGAGAGCCGCCCGTTACCGGTTCCCCAAGCTCCAAATTGCTGACACTTTATGGCCACGCCATGGCCGGGTGGCCAGGCCATGTGTCCTTGCGGCTGCTTTGTTCGTTACTCCTGTGAAGCCTTCTGGATAAATGTGTGCGCGTATATGGAATATTTTTTTATAGTCAGCTGACAATTTTTTTTGGCTCTTGGCAAAATATTGTCAAAGGTGCTTAGTTGTAAGTACAGTGAGGACTGTCAGCCAACGATTCGATAATAGTCAGTTAATATAGAGAATTATTAAGGAATAAATCTATGAAATTGTACACCTATTTTTCGCTCATTGAGGTAGACCCAAATGAACCAAGCACCAATTCAGCTAAAGTGCTTGCACAAATCTATATTTCTTTAACATTTGGTACAGTGAATTTATAATATAACTTACTTCGCTAGTAAATCTATTTGGCGCTCCACAAGTTCAACTTGTTTTGGCGTCTCTCACTTGAAGCTGTCAAGAAAGAAAGATAGAGAAAAAAGCCCACCTCTTTTAGATGCTCCCACTGCTGACTCGCCATTCGCAGACGTCAATCCCAAGTGGCCCTTGTCGTAGATTTTAACAACTTTATTGATGACTCGCCGCTGCGCCGATCTCTCGGCGAAGTGTCCGCCAAGCCCCAAAAGCGCTTCGTGCCACTTGTAAGCAATTTCAACTGTCAATTTTTGCTAGCAACAATTTGTTGTTGCTGTGAAATCTGAATATGAGCATAAATAAATGCCGAAAAGTAAAAAACACCAAAACTAGAAAAGAGGTTGGTCCCTTGGCAAGCCGAAAAAAAATACACTTCTATTTAACTTGAGGTAAAAGGGGAAACTTTTATTCTTGAAATCTGTTGAAATTATTTTGAATCAAACTCGAATTTCAATTTCAATTCCCATAAAGTTATATGTTATGCTCATCCCATGTTGCTAAGACTAAATGTCGCAAATCCCAAGGTAGAGCATATATGTTTTCTAGTAAGAACTTTCCACTTATCGTTTCTATTACAACTATGCGATATATTAAGCCGATTCGGAAGATTCCCACATGTGCATTTGATACTGAAAGACTAGCTTTTACAAAATAGTTGGATCCAGAATAGATATATCATTTATGGGCTTGCAGGTGTGGCACATTTAATGACAAAACAATAATACCCGGTACAAGCGTATAACAATAAACTGCTGAGGTTGACACCCAAACGGCTCTAATAACTCAACGCGGCTTGGCCGCAGCTTGGACTCAATGCCTTTTGGAATTTGTAATGGAAACTTGTTCTGCGGCTTGGCAAAGCAACAACAACAACAATAAGAAAAGCAGCAGCAGCTGCTAGATGTGGATTGTGACTGTGTCAAGCTGCGCCCAATGTGGCTGCAATCTATTGCTGACTTGGCGCAAAACAAAAAATGTGGCGAAGTCAACCAAGTCACAGAGTGAAAAAGATTGACAGACTTGTAGTCACAGTCGAAACATCTCCCACAGCTATGTCAATTGTCCTAAAGTGGCGCTAAGCGATTTGCTCGGCTCGGCCCGGCCAAGCCGGTGTCCCACTGCAAATCCGTCACCAACTGTGCGAACTGTCAGTCGGAGTGTTCCCCTAGCAAATCAATTTGCTCGGTCTGCTGCGGACGGAGCGGCTTTGCATAATTTATATGAGCGGGCCTATGGCCACAAATAATTTTCGCAATTGGCTAGCGGAGGGAGCAGCGGCACAGAACACACAAAAACATTTTCAACAGTGGGTGGAGCTGTGAATATTGGCCATAAAATTTATGCCCTGAGATAATAACACAAGCGGCAAGTCGTTATGGCCTGCCCGGCAGCCCAGGCAACAAGGCATCCAGTTAGCCAGGCGAACGACCACAAGGAGGATGGCTAAAAATAAAATTATTGCCTCGCCAAACTCGTCTCGAGATGCAAAGCCAGCGATAGAAGCTAAGGTTGAAGTTGATTCGGATGCTGTGCCTGCTTGCCCGCTGCCTGTCTGTGGCTGGCGGATTGTGGCCCAGGTGGTGACTGCAGCAGCAGGCCCGAACCACTTTGCCAATTATGCGGCCCTCTTCTGTTTTCGACTCTATTCGCTTGCAAGCCCTTTTTTTATTATCATAAGCCAAGACTAAAACGAGATATATCTTATGGCGAAGCGATACAAAGTGTTTATATATATGTTTCCAATGTTATGCGAAGAGCAAAAGATATTTGGCAGCGGGACGTTTAAGCTAATGGGTGTTCTCGAGGAATTTCTCGAAACATTACAACATGCATAATTACGCAAAGGAACCACTTACTTTTTATTTGTTTGCACTAATGACAAGGTCCTTCAGATAGATATTTTCTTAATGCAAATAATTCTAAACTTGCTACGAGACATTACAAGTTGCATACTTTCGCCGGGAATTCGAACCACTAACTTTTTGTTTCATTGCACTAAGCTCCATTCTTCTAAGAAGCTTAGAGAGAAATATATTTTCTTAAAGCAAAGACTTTTAAACCCCAGTTGAAAACAAAACTGCCTGCTATGAGGCATTACAACATGCCTGCCTTCCTGGGAGTTCGAATCTGTGACAAGCCCTGCCAGCTCTTGAAGCAAGCACGTTTTGAACGCTTTGTTTACGTATATACAGAGCATCTGTCGAGTCTATCAAGACCAAGCTGCATTTGCAGTCTTTGTTTTCAGCCTGGTGCAACAACATTTGGTTGCCAACTTTGCTGTTGATACACACAGCGTTTAGGCTGTGGTCTACTCTTGTTGAATTCACGTTGGCTCCTCGTTGCTGGTCTTCTTGGTCTGTTTGTGTGTTTGGCTTTGGCTTCGTTTGTAAATATGCCCAGTTTGTGTTGGAATCATAGACGGTAGCTCGACAACAACAACAACAAGAACGACAACGACAACTACAAAACACGGAATCACATCCTTTGGGTTACGAGCTGCTGCTGTTGCTGCTGCTGCTGCTTAGTTGTCCGTTGCCAGGTCTCTGTTACCGGTTGTCTTGGGCTATTGCCGGCAGCTCATTTGGCTCTTGTGTTGTTATTGCCCTTCGGTAGACAACATTGGCCAACAGCGAGCCACAAGCTCATCGTCATCATCGTACTCGTCATTGGCCAGCTGAGGGCTGTTCAGGTGTCCCATCAACTGTTTCTCCCCCTTTGGAACAGGTACAGACTGTTTGGCATGCTAATATGCAAACAGTGCTGCCAACTTAATGAAATTGAAATGAGCAAATTAGTGATGTTTGGCTATGTGCAACAAGGGAACAGACCAGAGCCCTACCACCTGCTCATTCGCTAGTTAGTGCGAATATTTAAAGTCTCCTTACACTAAGCTACAATATGTTGATGGCCCCACAATATCAAAGCATTCGGGGAATCAGCGTAACTGAATCGTAAATATCGTAAAGAAACACGAAAACTTTCCCAAATACTTATCAAATTTAGCCCTACTCTGCGATTCTCATGAATTCATGTAGGCATTGGTTACAAGTGTGATATTAATAAGTGGTTAAGGATTACTTCTTGCTGTGCTAAAAATAAATTTGTAATGAAAAGTCCTTACTATGCGATTCTCATGAATTCTAGTAAGTCTTTCGGCTTTTCAAGCATTGATTATAAGCTGTTTTTGAGACTTACATATACTCTTCGTATACTCTTTTTGCACACTATCTCTGTTTATATTTCCCTCACTAATTTAATTCTTATTTATTTCCTTTAGGAATGTCGATATCTCCTCCTACTAAGAGATGGCAACAAATTAATCTCGCTTTAAAATTGTAATTTTTGGGTAAGTACATATTTATATATATATATCTTTATAAATATAAACAAGAATTTAAGTTTAGGCTCAGACCTGAGCCATTTCCTAGTATCAGATCAATTTGAACCAGTGGGGTAGATAATTGTAGATTTTGGAATATTAATTAAAGCCAAAAGTTTTCCACTCAGACTTCCCTCTTGTGGATGCATAAAAGGATTAAGGATTCATTCAAGAGGAATGAAAAAATTAAATGCTCTCACATGAGAGTGCATATGCAAGTGTGTGTGTGTGCAGTAGCCAGCTAAGATAGATAATTAGAAGTACATTCATCAAGTAGCCTTCGATAAAGAACGGGCATTCAAAGAGACAGTTAAACTAATAGCCAACAAAAAATTCAAAACGCCAACCATTGAAAATGGTAGCTAGTCAGCCAGCCTGAATGCCAAGCCCCATAAATCTCGACCCAAAGTTCGTGTTTGGTCAACTCGCCAGCTGCTGCAATGTGCGCTAAAAACTAGTCTAGCCATTGGAGCAACCAATAAAAATGATTCTTTCACACAACAAGAGAAAGACAAAAAAAAAAAAAACAGAAAAACAAAAATGAAGAAGGAAACCCACATGTCATGGACTACACTTCAAAGCACTAGACGCTCCCAAACCCCCAACTTGAACTCCATTTTCTGATAGATACAAACGACTTCATGACGATACAAAAGAATGATGATGATTTGCAAAAAGCACGAAGAGAGAGGAGCACACTGAATGGCAGCCAGATAGCGTCTGCTGGGCTCGGCTGGGTATTGTGGGCCTGTCCGGGCGGTCCGTCATTGAATTGGCTGTGCAAACGTTTGATAAATTGATGAATTGCAATGCTCAAGTGGCAACAGTTTAGCGAACAGTCAGACTCTGGTCGAACCAGCGATCGATAATGGGACCAGGCCTAGGAGAGGGACTCCGACTACGACTCCGACTTCGACTCCAACTGGAGGACGGTGCACTGAGATTGGGAAGTGGTAGCTGGAGTGGCACACAACTCATTAGTTCATCAGTCACTCGAGTTTCTGTGTTTTGTTTACCAAAGTTTAGCATAAAAAATGAAACAGTCATGGCCCAGAGTCGTTGAGGAAATATATTTTTTCTTCTTGTTTATGCTCGTTGCGTTTCTCGTTTACCGGGAAGAGCTCATAAAAATTTATGTTAATTTCGTTTAGAGCTGCAATCTGCGACTGCATTCGTAATGAGACGAGCCGGGCTAAGTAAACAGGCACTGCAGCACAGCTTCGCATAGTGGAGGAATTCAAAATTGAAATAATGATTAACAGGCAAATGTATAATAGAAGAAGCTAGGGAGGGGGCTGGTTAGTGCGGGGTAGGGGGGACTTGATCCGCCTACACGGGAAATTTTTCTAGACACGGTGCACTTTATGCAACAATTGAAAACTTCTACGAAAATGCCGTTGTGAAAATGCAACGTAAACATTTAAGATAAACAGCCCCAAAGTGAAGTGAAGTGAGGCTGGGGCCCCAACGTGGGCTCTACAAATTAACTGCAAGCGGAGACAACGCGTCGTATGCGCAACGTGCCGGCCTGACTCGCACAATTTGTTTATTTATTTGTATTTATTTTCCAGTCAATATAAACTATGTGAATTTTTACTGTACATAAAATGAGTAGAATGCCCAGACAACTAGACATGGTAATAATAACAACAATGCCAAAGTCAACCCAAGACACAGCGCGCACATCGGGCCAAGTAAATATAAATCAAATGCAACCGAGCAGCTGCCATCGGCATCGGAATGGGCCGTATGGGCAGCCAGAGTCGAGTTAGATGAAGTTTCCATGGAAATGCCAGCCAAGCGTGAACTTCAAAATAAACAATATGATGAGCATGGGCATGAGTGTGTGTGTGTGTGTGTGCGTGTGCGTGTGTGTGTAAGTATGTGGAGCTGATGACTGAAGGAAAATAGAAAATATATTGCAGCATAAATGTGAATCATGAATGGAATATTTGTGTTGGCAAAAGCTGGAAATGTGGGACACAAATGCGATTAAGTTTTGCAAAGTTTTCTCTCAACTGTATTCAAATTTCCAGCAGTTAATCTAGCGGAAAGTTGTGATGCCAAGGTGCAGGTGCAATGTTTAAACTAAGCCCATTGCAACCATGATCATCCGCTTCGAAGTTTGGCAAATTCCCGCACTTTTTGTGGCTCAAGTCAAAGTCATTTGCCAGCAACATGGCAACAAAACACAGCTCATCAACACCTTTAGTCAGCCATTTTGTTAGCTTGGCTTGGATGGCAAAGAGAAGGTGGGAGAGGTAGGGGTGGGGGTAGTGGAAGCGCTAGAGCAAATACGCAAAACCATTGCACACTAAATCCACTTAAATTAATTGCAAAAGGTGATTACGTTGCTGTTTTGCCTGTATCCGGGTCCTGGCAGCAAACAGGCAGAGCCGGCGCTGGCAGACAGCTGAGAAATGGAAGCCAGGACCTAGAGCATTCAGCAGGTTATGCAACTGCCACAGCCACAGCCACGCCCACACCCATACCCACAGGCCACGGGCAGGTTATCAAGAAGCTGCACGCGGAACGGTATTTTTCAACTGCCAGGGGCCAGAGGCAAACGGGCAAACGCCTTGGCTATGGCAATGACTGCAACTGCTGCCGCGAGGTAGGCAAATGCTCAGTCGAGTTCTTGGCTGCCTGGCTGCTTGGATCCTGGCTCCTGGCTCCTTTTCTGCCGAGTGTTTGCGCATATCTTATAGAGGCAGAGCAACTGTCGCTTCATTTTTGCAAAGTAATTTGCAAAAGAGCCAACACAAGGCGCAGCAGCGGCGAGAAAACTGAAAGCAAGTGCCGCCAAAGCGCAGTCAAGGATGAAACAGCAACAGCAGAAAGTCTCCAGGTGGAGAGGTGCTGCTAGGTGTTAAGGTGTCGCTGTCATTGGTTGATTGCGTTTATGCGTAGCTGGTTATCAGAATAAGACCAGACCTAGCAGTTGCTCCGACAGTGGCAGGCAACTAATCAGCAGAGCTGAACATATAGAAAGAGCGCAAAATTTACCTAAATAAATTCGATCAAATTTGTAAAGGTATGTAAATTCTATACCAAGACAAGGAAGTACGAAATTCTAAGTGCTGCAAACTGTTAAAAAAAAGTCCGTTTTTGTGCATCTTGGTATTTTCTAGTTCTAAGCCAACAAGTGACAGGACACAGGCTTCAAGTAATCTGGCCATTAGCAGTTTTAACAAGTGCTAACAGAATATATCGATAACTAAATTATTAGATTAGTTTAGTTATCGAATTAAAGTCTCCTTTACCTTCGATTATTTCTGTGTTGATACAGCAACATTATTATACTTTGCTTGTAATTGAAAATTTAAATTTTAAAACAGCGCTCTAAACCCTACAAAAAATTAGTCGCTGGTTCAAACCAACTACTTGCCTTTTTAGTTCTTTGCCTCATGATTTCCGCAAATTTGGTTGTATTTTAATGTGCATATCTTGCGAAATTTCATTGAAATACTTAATTTGTTCTACTTTAACTTTTCGCCCATAATTGTCCCATGTTCTGGGAATATTGTAAGCCATACAAATTTTCATATACAAAATGCGGGCTACATTTGAACCCACCCCAATAGCTTGGTTTGGTTTAAGCTTCCGTTTTAATAATCAAATAAATGGAAATTCTGTTTGGATCGACTCATCCTTAAAACACTTGCAAATTCTTTAAACTCTTCTTGGAGTGATTTAAATGAAACATAATAAAACTTATTCACATATCATTTAAGCAGAACGATAATATGCCCCATTTCAATGCCCAACATTCTGAATTCGCAATCATAACTTTGAGCCACGCATAAACACAAATTTGACTCTGTCTTTCCCTGTCGTGCGGCCCTCTCCTTTGCCCTACCTTAAGGTCTATGTGTGTGTGTATGTGTGCTTAAAATGTCATTAAAGCCCTGAATGGGCGTGAGCATTGAAAGCAGCGACTGGCAGGGAATGTGGGCATGGCCGGGCAAGGTGGCAGCGGGAGGAGGGACGTGCAACTGTAGCGACAGCTCATAAAGACGACAAACGGAGCAGATAAAAGTCTCGAAGACTCAAAGACTCAGCCCCACCGCATATCATATCCGTAATCAGCGCCTCTCCGCCACAGCCAGGCTTTCCCTGGTCGCACTTTGTGCGTGGCGGTGGGCGGTGGGCGGTGGGCAGGGTGCAGGACTGTGTAGCTTCCGTTAAATTTATTGATAATTGATTATTGCTTCGTTAGGTCGCATTTGAGGCGGCATTTGGTGTGCGGTTCAGCCGGATTGGCTCTTTATTGTTGTTGCTGTTGTTGTTGTTATTGCTATCAGCGTTGTTTGTTGCGTGTTTGTTGTTGCAAATTGAAAATGCAAATTGCTGGGCTGATTTGCCAGCTCCCGATTGCATTGTGGGGCCAGGCACGACTTTTGCCTTTTGATGTGTGCCTCGAAGTTGCCGACGCTTTGGGGAAAAACAAATTTTCATAAATTTTTAAAACAAACACACGGGACATGAAAAACAAAAATGCAGACAAAAAAATACAAACAAATAGCAAGAAGCAGAGCTGCTGTTAGATTTTTTACGCCATTTTGTTGCCGCTCTGTTTTTGTTGTTGTTGTCGTTGTTGTTGTTTCTGTTGTGAGTTGTTTGTTGTTGTTAGGACGTGCCTATGCGCGCTGCTTTGCTCACCTTTTGAGCTTTTAAATTATTTTCCAAGCACGTAGCCTCGTCGGCTGTTTGCGTATTTAAACGTGCACGGCTATGTGAAGCGCATAGAGAGGCGCGCATCAGAATAAAATAGAATGTGCGAAAGAGATAGCTAGCTTAAAAGCATAGGGTGGTGTGAAAAGCGCGTAGAGCGGCGGCTGCTTTGCCCTTAAAAGGATTTGCGCAATTTACGTGCAATGTGGAGTTGAGGGGGGCTTTTCTCTGCTTTTTTTTATTTTGCGTGAAGGGTTCGGGATGTTGCTGCTGCCTGCCGTTGTGTTGACAAACAAACAGCGCCGCTAAGTGACGGCCAAGACAGACGAGCAGACAAGCAGCCAGTGGGTGGGCAGGATTCGCAAGGACGGCAGTCGGCGGCTTTGTGTTGACAATGTCCTTGCTGGCACTGTGGAGCCCTTTCATCCCGTGCCGCCTGCTGTACGTGACTTGCATTTATTTTGCGGCCCAAACTGTGAAAAACTCGTTAGTAATTTAGCAGTGAGCTAAAGCCAAACACAGAATGCCCAATAGCCCAATAGCTGGGCCAACCTCAGAGCTGGCCATGTTGCCAAAGCAATCAAATGCTCGTCTATATTCATATGAAGCCCCGAATGCAGCTAACTAAAAATACTAGACGGAAAATTCGGGAGGGAAGCAAACAAAAACAAAACTTTCAAACTGCAAATAATTCCATCAACACGCAGGGCCACAAAAAAGCCACAAACTAAAAACCAGAACCGAAAACGGCAATGGCAACGATTGATAGCCACTTGAGTTGCACAAACACATAAAGCTGCCCTCTCTTTCTAACTCTCACCCGCACTCTCCTGGCTTCTCTGCTGTTGCATTCAGTCTTTAGTCTAACCCATTGACATTGCACAGTGCAGCCGAGCACATTGGGCGGGCCGCGCGCTTTTGCACAGTGGGGCACAAAACAGACAGACAAACACAGTGCGAGATTCAAGTGCAGTTGCGAGTACCTAAACCCGAAATTGTGTGGTAACTGTGTGCGGGCAGGAGAGCAGCTGGTGCTGGAGCAGAACCAGAAGCAGGAGTAGATGGAGCAGGAGCTGGGTGCTAAGGCTGCTTAATGGCACCAGGCGCAGCGTCGAAAGAGTTATTGAAAATGTTTTATTGTGTGCATTTGATTGCTGTAAGTGTTGAGCTCCCACTGTGTGGGTGGGTGTGTGCGCGGGTGTGTGTGTCTGCCTGGTGTCTAACTTATAAATATTTCAATAACATTTGAAGTGCGCCTGGCTGGAGGCTCAATTGGGTATGGATTTTGGACCACCCGCCCGAACCCGGCTCGCCAACAAAACGCAAATGGAAATGCACTTTCCATTGTGTACGAGTGTCTAGTGCTTTGGCACTCCAAAACTCAACTCTGGCAATGGCCATAGCCATAGCCATAGCCATACCAATAGAAATGGCACTTGCCATATTTGGATTACCCAAAACCAAACCAAACCAAATGCCCAAATGCAACGCCGCCAAGTTGCAGGTTTATGCGTAAACGCCAAACGTGAAACGTCCAGAATCAGAAACTATTCGGTAAAACATAAATAATTAATGGCAAATATATGAGTTTGTTGAAAAAGAACAAATCAATATCCTTATTTTAATGTTTAAAAAGGGTCATGGGTATTTTTTAAATAGTTAAATAAAGCATATGTCATATTTTGACTAATAGGAAAACAATAAGAATTTTAGGGAAGCGAGAAAGCAATTCTTTTTTTATTTAAATAAAAAATGTTCAAAATAATTTGAAATATTTTCGAACTAATAATGCTTGAGATAGCATTAACTCTCCCTCATTAGCATAACACGCTGAAAAAAATCTTAGGCTTTTCCCAATAAATCCCTTGCTGAATAGAATGCACAAAATGAATAAATAAGAAAGAAAAAATGCTTTTCTATTTATTAAAAATTATTTAAGAATAATTTGAAATATTTCCAACCCAAAACTAATTCAAGCAACAAGAAATATCTTTGGCCTTGCTCCAACCATCGAATGCTTATTAAAGACATAACCTTATGTTGAAAGAGAAAACATTTCAACAAATTCCTATTTATGTAAACATTTCTTTAAATATCTTATGATAAATAGAAAATCATGAATTCGTGCATGCATGAACGCGGAATTTTAAACATAGATTTTGCGTGCACACAACACTTTGGCACGTCCTATGTGGGCATACTTTCAAGCGAGTGTGTGTGTGCGTGTGTGTGTATGAGTGCAAGTATGTACATGTCCGGGTGTTTTAAAACTTTCTATTGAGTGGCAAAGAGCTTTGGCAACATCTTGTGATGCAATCGCTGCCACACGGCTCAGTGAAGCTTGTGGCATGGCCTACTTTGGTGCACAAAAGCTTAACTCAATTACCAATAGCAGCCGCAGCAGCAGCAGCAGTTGCCACACGTGACTAGCCAGGCTGTGTAGAGGGTGGGAGGATTGGGCAGGTGCAACCAAGCTGAGCCGAACCGAACTGACCTGCTTAGCTGGCCAGGCGAGCTGCCAATACCAAATAGTAAATGAGCGGGCGGCACTCGACAAACGTTGGCCAGGTCGAAGGACGCTTTAAGGGTCCAGCAGCCACCTACAAATCCCTTTTCAAAACTCATTAGCACAAATTTGTGCTGCATAGTTGGCCGCTTCTATGGACCTGATTCTGGTTCGAAGTCTGAAGCTACCTTGGCACGCCCCAGCAACTGTGCCGCCTAATTTGGGGCGCAGACTAAATTTATGCTGATTGTGCGGCAATTTACGAAAACTGAGAGCCAAAACTGGAAAATTGCAGCTGCCTCACGTAGCAGCCGCAGCCGCAGCGACAGCTAGAAAAAGGCTAAGAAAAGCAGAACAACAAATTTTCAATGCGGCGCGTTTACAATAAATATAAAGCACTCAGCCTTGAAACAATGACACAACCTTTAACCTTTTCCGCATCTCTTTTTTTATGCTGCTATTTTCTGCACCCTAGCAGTGAGTATTATAATTTGGTCACGAAGTGTGTTATGCATGCAAGCGAACGGGTCAAAACTAGGCATTTACGATTTCCAATATGCTCCTGGCATTTGAGCAAAATCTGATCTGTAAAGCATGTGTCGAAGAAAGTTTATATGATGAACTTCTATGTTATTTAAGCTATCCTTACCAAAAAAAATAGCAATAACGCAACATAGTTGAGAAATCGTTTCATAATAGACAATTATAATGTACGCCTCATATCTGAACAATCAGGTGGGATAAAGGCTTTTTATAAAATCTGTACTAAGCCATATGTTTATAAGAATCTTTAGTCTTCGGCCTGTCCGAGATATCTGTCTTTTTAGACCCTTGCACTGTGTATTATAATTTTGTCGTGAAATGTACAACGGTTAGGAGACATCTCCGCGCCCATAAAATATATATCATTATAGATCTAGTTCCGTCTGTTCATCCGTCCGCAGCTTTAAAGCATTTTATGGAACCTTTGAGTAGGTCCGTCTTTCTGTTGCAGGCAGTAGATATTTCAGAACCGCCTGGATCGGACCACTATATCAAATGATCATTCGAAAGGTATGTTCTTGTATGGGAAACTTTTTTGTTATTCACGATAGCTAAACCAATCGCGGCATTTGCAAGCTTATCTATGCGCCGTACACATATGCATAATCTTATCAACATCGGAGCACTATATCATAAAGCTGTCATAGGAACGATCGTTCGAAAGGTAAGTTCTTGTATGGCTAAGGATTCTGATTTCCAAAATATAACTCACTATTCTCACATATATCCGCAAGTGTATTAAATCTTCGGCTTGCCGAAGATATACTTACTCTCTCGGTTTTGGTTTTTCATGTTTTCTTTCTCTTTTTGCAGCGCCTGACTTTTGTCTGGTTTATTGAGTGCAGCTACCGAATAACGGTAAGTAACCTTTTCTTAACCTTTTACAACACACACAGTCTATGCAAAGTAGTTCCAGTTAAGTGGGCGGGTTTATGTGTGTATACATTGTAGGGGTCGCGGAGTTGGCGCTGGTCGGCAAAGTCGTTTGGTTTCCGTTTCCGCCTTTGGCTTTCGCTTTTTCATTTCCGCCTAATAAACTACATAATTAAACTGGCAGCAATGGGATTAAAGGATTCCTGGCCGAGAGTTCCCTCCTCCAACCCATCCCTCTCAGCAAGTAGAGTCATGTGTATGGTGAATCTTTCGAGCTACTCAGCTGCTGCTCCTGGTACTCGGTTCATGTTGCCCGTGGATATTTTCGTTCGTGCTGAAGGTCTCACTCCATTAGCCCCGACTTGGCCCCCTCGGCACGATTCAAGTTAAGTTTCGTCGACGAATTAAGCTAAATTAATTTTTGTGCTTTGCTGTTGTTTTTCTTCATGTTGATGTTGTTGTTGTTGTTGTTGCTTTTGCTAGTTAAGTCCTTTGACTTTGGGCTCGTTTGATACGTTTCTCTACTCGTCTTTTTTCTCTGCCCTACCACCCTCCCTCCCTCTATCTCTCACTCTGCCGCTCTCTGGTTTGCTTCATATTAAATTAATGATGTGTTTTATGCTGTTCTTGTTCCTGTTGTTGTTGCTATGTCGAAAAAAATCACTGCAAATGCGATTTAAGAGGCAAAGCGCAACATTAGCAGTAAATAAAATAGGATAATGCGGCAAGTCGACCGCAAAGCGGTGGCTCCCAAAAAAAGAAATCAAATAAGATAAAAAGAAAAGTAAAAGTACAAGCATATAGTCATAAAAATCTTGCCCAAGGGGCATATACGACTCGCAGTTGCACTTTATACGCACTTTATACGCGACTTCCAAGTTCCACAAAAATCAAACTTGGAATTAAATTTAGAAAAGATTGTAGATCATGATTTTGAAAATGTAACAAGAGTTACCATTTTCCTTGTAATCAAAATCTGGTCTCCTTTCCGGTCATGTGTAAGTACATTATAGTTCATATTCTGGCTGGAAATATTATATTTATATATTTAGAAAATGAGATCGTTTTGGCACCAGGCGTAATTCGCATAGAATTATAAGCCTCTTTTCCATCTCAAAAATAAAAACTAAATATCTATTAAATCATTTATATAACATGAATATACGAGAAAAATTTATGATGATAAATGATTTCCTTTTATTTTTGTAAATTTGATCGTTCAATGCCTTCTTAACTTTTTAATCAAAATCGAAGACTTTAATTAAATAAAAAACAAATTTTCCAAGAACTATAAAAATATGTACTCAAATACTTATACAGTAAAGAAAATATAAAAAAAAAAAATTTCTAAAATTCAGATTAAAGAAAAAAGACTTTGAAAATTGAGAAACGCGTTCTGGAAAATTCTTTACATCTTTGTTATAAATAATTATATCAATTTGATCAAAAACTCTATAACTGGGCTCTTACTTAATATACAAATTATGTATTTAATAAAAAAGTAGTTCGAACTTGGATTGGAAATAATATTTTCAAACATTGTATAAGAAACAACCTTAAAAAAGTCAACAAACACGCTTGCGCCCAATTTAAGGGCATTTGGCTGTTTGCCGCGGGTATTTGGCAGGAGAACAGCTGCAGCACGGCAGAAGGCAGCAAAGGTCGGGGGTCACGGAAGGGCATAGAATACAATGCCAGTTCTATGACAGGCGAAAGGATTATGCGCGCTCCTAATGCCAAGGCGCTCGGTTTTCGCCCGTCCGCTCGTAAGCCCTGCAATTTTTCATGTTAACCCCATTTCGCTGCGGGGCAGAACAGAACATAACTGGCACGACCGTCATCTGGCCTGAGGCAAGCGGATCACCTGGCTTAAGCGGAACTCAAAACTCGCACAAAACTCTTTTAGCCACAGCGCAGGATGACTTAATATTCGACTGTGATGCGGCCTGCGGCACATAAATACAAACAAATAATCTTTTTCTTGCTGTTGTAAACAATTTGTATGAAATGTTCTTGAGAAAATCAAACCAAAAATGTCGAGTTTGAATCAATTGTCGATGCGTCTGGGCGCTGTCTCCTTCCGACTTACACAAATATTTTGACAAAACGCCTGCTGTTTCCACATAAATATTTATATTTGCCTTGTACAACTGCCACACACACACTCACACATACACACACACGCAGGATACACTACACACTCAGCTCTGTCCGTCTGGCTATCTGAATGCCTGTTTATCGCGGGCCTGGCATCTTTACCTGCAGCGAACATGATACAAGAACCAGCCACCAGCATCTTGTTGCCTCTCCAATGGGCGCGTATCTTTAGCATCTACTCCTCATACACACACAAACAGACACACACACACACATACAGTGGAACAGTGTGTCGTGCGTATACAAATTTCTTGTTGCCTCCTCGGAAATCGAATCCACAAAAATGCAGTTAAATAAATTACAAACGCTCTGTCACCCAGCAGTCGAGGAGGAGTCGGGTTCAGTTCGGGGACTTGAGGTTGGGGCGCATGTCGCGGGATTATCGCACGCCGGGCATCGCCTGGTCACCGAGCCTATACACAGAGAGAGAGCGGGACAGTTTTAGCTTGGCCAGCCAATGATTACGATGATTCTTCTTATACGTAATTTTCTTTTTTTTAATGAATATTGTCGTTTGTCGTCTGGGCTCGCAATGCTGCCCCATCCTCCCTTTCCCCTGTGCACCCCTCATCAGAGACTATGCGTTCTGTATCCCCCTTTATCTGCATTTTGCGTGCTAATGAAATAAATGCCTGGACAGCGTTCTCAAGTTACCCAAACATGAGCAATCTGTGACATTGCCACATATGTAGGCATATATATATATATATATATATATATATAAATGTATATATGTGAATATGCGACAGTGCCTGCAACAGACACAAAATAAAGATACAGAAAGAATTGTATCTTAAGTTATGAGACATACCAGGCACATAAATTCTTCAACGTGTGTGGGTTCAAATGGGTTGGGTAACACACACACACACACACACACACACACATACTAAAGTGTTATGTTGAAAGAGCAATATTAGCTGGATATATCAAGTGTGGTCCAAGTTTATAATATTTACATAGGAATAATAGTTGTGGAAAATATTTAAAAAAAAATTGAGAAAAATATAAAGAAGAAATTCTCTAAAGAAAGATTTTTTGGAGCGTTTTCTGTAAAGTTTTACTTAGTTAATAGACTATTATGTGCTTTAATTTAAGGAGTATGTTTCGCTTTAAGTCTTATCCATTTTTGGAACATTTTGAGTCAGAGACTCTTTAGCTCTATGAAACATAAGACGCTTGCGTGTACAGCTGAGTTTCCAATTATTCTGATGGCGCCCCTGGCTCGAGCCCTTGCCCAAGTGAATCATGCTTGGTATCCGGTCTAGTGGCAATTGAAATACTTAACGCTTCATCCTTGACAAAAGTTGCCGCCTACTTAATTATTAATTTCGCATTTACCACAAAACGATTATGGGTCGGCTGCAACAGAGCTGTGCCTGGTCGTGGCGGTGGGCAAAGCAATCTCCGAGCTGTCCGTCCGACCATTTCCTCAATTGCATAAATCGAAAATTTGTGCTTTGGCGCGTGTCACGAATAACCAAAGGAACCAGCCGAACATACAAGACGGAAAAAAACTCTTACTCCTAATTTTTGCTGTGCTTTGAGACAATGTGACAAGCTCTGACTGCCGACAAGGATGGAGTCGACCATGTAGCCAAAGTTGTTGCTGTTGTTGTTGCTATTGCCGCAGTCTGTTTGTCACCCAAGTCATTTACATGCTACGTGACTCACATATATTTGTTATGCTGTTATATATATTGAAGCGTTCGGTTAGCTTTTGGGGAATGTCAGTGCATGTCTGGGTCTGCCGCTGCGGCGAGCTTGGCTTACATTTGATGAAAATGCGAGCGCTCCGATGTCAATGTGGATATGGCTGTCCATCGGGAATTATGGTCGTTGTCGTCGCCGTTGTCTGGCCTCAAGTGAGTCACGCAGCGCATCGATAAAATATTTAAAATTCATTTCTAAGCTTTTAGCAGTCAACGGGCTGTGCTCCACTCGGCGCGGCGCTCTTATCAACGCTTGGGCCGTTCTTCAGCCCGACTATTACTCAAACCCAATCCCAACAGGCCACAGCAACTGCAACGGCAATTGCCGAGATAACCATAAGCCAAAACTGCAAACGACGACGACGACTGCGACGACTACGACGACAGCTTTTGTGCCTCCCAACTGCAGCTCCTTGGCGTATCTTTCGAGTGTGCATTGATTTATGTGCGTGCTAGACGGGAGCGCAACGTTTGTATCTGAAGGTAAATAGAAATACTCGCAACGTTTACCTGGCCCAAGTAGACCCCTCTTCACACAAACACAAACACACACAAGCATATAATAACAACTACAGCCACAACACAGCTCACAGTTGCAATTGCAGTTTATTAGTTTTGCTATTGAATTTCATTTTATTGCATTTCTCAATCTCACTGCGATACGCATTCCATATATCTATCAAATGCCAAAGAGTGTGCGTGTGTGTGTGTGCGTGTGTGTGTGCGTGTGTGTGCATAGCCTGTGTGTGCTTTCAGCTCTGATGACTTTTGTCATAAATGTCTCAGCTCTTGAATACATTTTAGCTAAAGCACATCTGATTTTTAGCCAGATATAGAAAATATGAAAGAACTTTTGGGAAATTGAATAAATATCCTAAATAAAATTCTAATAAATTTTAAATAAATCTCACAATTAATATCAATTCAGCAAACTTGAATATCCCCCACCTTACAGATCTCTCTCTTTCCCATCCAACTGTATTTATTATCCGCCACATTGAGCCTACTCTGTGCGCCTGCTCTATCGTAATTTTTATTTATTATCATATTATAAGTATATATTATTTCTTCAACGAGTGCATTTGCCGTGGCCTATGACTGCCTTTGGCTGGTATT